ACAAACTGGCCCGGAGCCGCAGCTTCCCGCCTCAATATCTCATCCCCCCTCCCTCTAAGCCCCCCATCCCTAAATTCCCTGCCGGGCTCAACTCCTACCCTTTTACTCCATTGATTCCACACCCCTCCCTCGGAGTGTGCATTGAATGAGATCATAGTACCTTTGAATTATTTCCCTGACATATCCCTAGTCTACCTCTCCTGAACCTTGGTCCTTCAGTTTGTGTTAACCCTTAATAAACTGGTTAATTCATTAACTCAACACTGGTCTCAGTAACAATTTTTGGGCATGGTGAGGGTGATGTTCTAACCTGTGCTCTACGATTCAGTCCCGCAGTGACCAACGCTCTGCAGGTGGAGCGCCACGCCTGCCCTTGGTCTGTTTTAAAGACCCCTCCATGCTATGGGGGGAAGTCGCAGAAGCATCCTGAAAGCCAGTAGCCTCTGTGACAGCACTGGCTCGTGACCCCAGTCCTGGCTGACTGGGGAGGTCCTGGATGACTGGAGTTTGGCAAAAGTGATGCCCATCCACAAGAAGGGCCAGAAGGAGGATCCAGGGAGCTATAGACCTGTCAGCCTGACCTCGTTGACTGGTTCATACCTTGACTTCAGCCAAGGCTCTGACACAGTCTCCCACAGCATCCTCCTGGAGAAGCTGGCAGCCCATGGCTTGGACAGGTGCCCCCTTTGCTGGGTTAAAAACTGGTTGGATGACCAGGCACAGAGAGTGATGGGGAATGGAGCTGCATTCAGCTGGTGTCTGGTGACCAGTGGTGTCCCCCAGGGATCAGTGCTGGGCCCAGTGCTATTCAACATCTTTAGTGATGACCTGGGTGTGGGGAAGCCAGGGGGGAGTGTTGATCTGCTGGAGGGCAGGAAGAAGCTGCAGAAAGATCTGGGCAGGCTGGGTCAATGGGCCAAGGCCAATGGCATGAAATTCAACAAGACCAAGTGCCAGGTCCTGCACTTTGGCCACAATAACCCCAGGCAGAGCTACAGGCTGGGGGAAGAGTGGCTGGAAAGTAGCCCTGCAGAGAGGGACCTGGGAGCGCTGGTTGACAACCAGTAGAACATGAGCCAGCAGTGTGCCCAGGTGGCCTGGAAGGCCAATGGCATCCTGGCTTGTATCAGGAATAGTGTGGCCAGCAGGAGCAGGGATGTGTTTCTCCCCTGTACACAATACTGGTGAGGCCTTACCTTGAGTAATGTGTGCTGTTCTGGGCCCTTCACTTCAAGGATATTGAGGTGTTGGAGCAGGTCCAGAGGAGAGCAACAAGGCTGGTGGAAGCACTAGAAGGAAAGTCTTATAGGGATAGGCTGAGGGAGCTGGTGCTGTTTAGCCTGGAGGAGACTCAGGGGGGGACCTTCTCACTCTCTTCAACTGCTGGAAGGGAGGTTGTAGTCAGGGGAGGGCTGGACTGTTTTTCCAGGCAACTAGCAACAGGACAAGAGGGCATGGCCTCAAGCTGCTCCACAGGAGATTTAAGTTGGATAGGAAGCACTTCTTCAGGGAGAAGGTGATTAGACACTTGAATGTACTGCCCAGGGAAGTGGTGGAGGCACTATCCCTGGGTGTGTTCAAGGCAAGGCTGGATGCAGCACTTAGTGCCATGGTCCAGCTGATGTGGTGGTGTTAGGTCATAGGCTGGACTTAAAGGTCTTTTCCAGCCTTGGTGACTCCATTATTCTGAGAACTAGTAATTACTATGAACTATGAGGATTATCAAAGGAATAGTTCACAAGAGGCAAGTAATTTTTACTAATTGTGTCCATTCTAAGCATAAGAAGTGAAATGGCAAAGCAGTAAAAATAAGTCACAGTTACAGACAAGTGTGTGAACTAGAAGATTAAATGATAGGAACAGAACTTAAGTTTTTATTTTATGAGCTATTATTGTATGGACACTGATAAGCAATACTATCAACAACAGTAAACAGCTGAGAACTTCATGATATCAGCAGTTGAAATTTCACCTCTGCATCAAATGTGGAGTATTTTTTGAGAATTAACAGACTGCAGCTTTCTAAAGAGTAAAGCTACAGTCCTCCATTATGTAAAAACACTCAGGAAGCTTGAGGTTACACATACAGTATTTTAATGATACAGATTTCTTCAGTCTGGAATCAATTCAGTTGACAACAGTGTAGTAATTAGAAAAAAGTTCTTCTCCTTGCTTGATGTCTCTGAGAGTGACAAGCACTACACATCTTAGGTGGCTGTAAGAAAATGAAAAGCAAAACAGCTGCATTTCCCTTGTCTTCATGGCGAGGAACTAAAACAATGGCTCTGTCAAAATTACTTTTGGGAGTAATATGCATAATGCAGCCCAGGGAGCCTGGGAAAACAACACTGAAATACAGATAGCAAAAAGCAAGCAAACCCAATAAAATTACTAAAAAAAGCACAGCCTATGAGGGTATGCAAATAATGTTTCCACTCACACTATCACTCATAAATTAAAAGAATTAGTCAAGACAGAAAAAAAGACACTCCACTCAGGAGGAGAAGCTACAGCGAAGTTCATGGAGCAGAATCATTCCTCTGGACACAGCTGCCCCCAGGTGCTAGTTGGCTAAACACACTCTCAGCCAAACTGCATCCAGAAGGACAGCTCTGACGTGTACCAGGGACCTGCTGCAATCTCCAATGATGGGAACATTCTCAGTAAACCCCAGGCTGAAACCAGTGGCTGGAAGTTTTCTTACACATAGATTTAGGAAAGCACTCCCCTAAACTTACTTTAAGTAAATGACCATGCCTCAAACCTGAAGTATCTATTCTAGGAGGAGAGCACACTCTTCTGATGCTGATGAAAGTAAAGAACAGCATCAATCCAAACCATCTTCACTACTAAGAAACTTAGTGTGAGGCCATTTTGAAACAAATCAAACAGCAAGATAAAGAAGTGCTGCAAACTCCTTTACAAGACAGAAGACTTAGAAATCAAATTACCTGTGTTGTCAGTACTGCAAATACCACTATCAAAACAAGCAGCTAGAAGCAGACAGGATGTTTCATCTAGTGGCTGTACACTGCAAGAACTCATGACTGAAAGACTACATTTTCTTGGGCAGATTCCATGGAAGAAAGCCAAATTTCTCTTCCTTAAGCAGTTTCAAAGCACAGCTTTGCTCACTGCACTTTCACACTTCCAAGAATCCAGGCTTTCTGTAAGTTCTGTCTTACATCTTTTACTAGCATTTATTATCTGCAGATTACAACTGCATTTTTAACCTTGCCTGAACAAAGTCTCAGTTTAATCAGAAAAATGGTTTCTCCAATATGCATTATATCTTTCTCCAACCAAATTTCAGGGTCTGAAAAGAGCTCCAGAATTACACTAAAAGCCAGGATGATCTGTTCTAAAATCCCTATACATCCTCTAGATGAAGAGTATTATTTGATTCATGAAGGTAGAAACTGAACTGGAAGTGCAATTTCTGTGGTGTGTTAAATTCAGGACTAACATTACAATTTACTTCCTCACAGCTTCAAAGTTATTCTTTACTGTATCCCAGTACACCACATACACAGACATAGTGTCTGCCTTTGCTGTCTAAATTGCTCCTTGTACATACTAATCTAATTGTCAATTATCTCACATTTCCAAATAAAAATCTGAGGAAAGTTTCTAAGTGTTTGAACTTCTAAAAGAGGTGGATATTCAGGTCATAATGAGGATGTTGTAATTGTGCACTGTATCGAAAACTAACATGTTTAAACTGCATAGTATTTCACTTGTGTCACTACAAATTTTTTTTGTTGTGCTTCTTGCAAATACATCTGCTTATTCTTCACATAAGCAGAAGACACAGCGAACAGGAGAGTAAGAAGCTGAAATCTCAACTATCTTAGATGGGCTTTGATTAGTTAAGGGTTGCTGCTACATTTGAAACACATACTGAAAAATGTCAGTACTGTAATACAAATAAAATATAACTAGTGATTAATGGTTTCTGAAAAAAATCACACTATAACATCACCACTGCTCATAAAACCTTATCTTCAGAGCTATGCTGAGCTGTGAAGATGTGGGAAAAAAACCTCAAAAAGACATAGTCTTGTAAATAAATAAAGTCTATTCAAAGAGCTGACTTTTCCCTA